AAAAAAAAAAAAAAAAAAAAAAAAAAAAAAAAAACCAAAGTGCATATTTAAAAAAGAATGCCATCCCTGAAAATATTAAGGTGACAATTATTTGAGGAGGATAACTCACTTAAAAATAAACATGAATATGTCATTCTGAGAACACGACAAGCTTTAAAAAAGACCTCAAAACTACCGAAGATTTATATGCTTTAAAAGTGCTCAGTTGAAAAGAGTAACATTTGAAAGCAACTAATTTCACTGTATTTATTCTTATACACAAGTTACCACTTGCATACTGTTGACATTTCTTTGTGTGAGCTGTTATTTCTAGTCCACTTAGGTAAAGGGGCCAATAATTTACTTAACTATCTTTTTATCACTATTTAGGCTGGCCAGCCCAAACACATTTTATTATGCTTCTTTCATGTGAAACCCACAATTAATGAAGATCTATTGTTAACTTATGAAGTAAGTAGTATTATGGCATAAATGCTATTTAACTAATGAACTGTATGTAAAATGAGTTTCTATGACATGCCAAACATGGAATGTAGAGCTAGTAGCAACAGAGTTGTTTTGACTGTGCTAATTGTAATTTCAGATATTTTATAGCCACTAAAAAAACCTTTATTTCCTGCATCCTCCACCTGGATGACAGTGATTCCATGTAACCACATTTTGGGCCAGTGCCATCAACTGTTTGCAGTCAACATATAGTCACTATCCAAGGACATGTCAAGGAAAAATACCATACTTCGTACAGAGAAGACACTAAGCAAAAATTGGATGTTTCTGGATTTAAATGTTGTTAAATAAGAAAAAGGGAGAGGAAAGGAAAGAGGTTCAGAACAGAGGTTGACTTAAATTTACATTTCTATTTCACTCAAGCAGTACAAGAACTGAAAGAAACTTTTGAAAATGGTTCTATTACAGCAAATAATTTAACTATCATAATTAATTTTAACATAACCTAACATTTATAGCGCTCTATAGTTTACAAAGCACTTTTATCTAATTGAATCCTCATCATAATCCAATGAAGAGATCAAGACAAGTAATAACTCTGTTTACAGCTGAATGAACTGAAGTTCTGAGAGATTGACTTGCTTAGGGTCACCCAACACTGGTGGGTGACTGAGAACCAACTCCAAATCCAAAGTTCTTTCCACTTTTCTAAGTGTTTCTTGATGATCTTATAAGTCAACAAGTATTAAGAAGAGCAGTTTCAATGGGGAAAAGGTGTGCTATAGACAGTAAACAAATACCAATCACAAACAACTTAAAAGTTTAAATTTTTATTATTATATTAGTAACTTGAAAAATGATGCCATATATTATTAAACAACATTAAATACAAAATAAGCACAAAGCTCTAGTCCAAAAATCATCACTAAAAAAATTACGATATATGCTTAGGAAAATATATATTACCAATTACACATTATGTTCTTTTTTTCAAAACATGCATTTCAGTAGTAAAAAAGGCAAACGTAATCATTGCTGCTCTATCTTTGGAAAAGAAAATTGTAAAAGACAAAACATTTTTCATACGAATGAACTATACAGGGACTTAGGGGCATATTTTTCACTGTTTTAAATTAAACTATAAAACTAGTGATATTTACCTGAGGAGCAATACGATTAACAATATGTGAGATCTCATCACTATCTGTGGTGTAAATCTGTTTTTTTCTTCCTTTACCTAAGGAAACAAAGACATTTCTATTAATTGTAAACAAAAAAACTTAATTTTTAAAAATAGCAGTCACTTCTTAGAAAAAAATTAAATTAGCACAGCTTAGATCAGTATGCACTCTGACGTTACGTGCCTATTACAGCAATACAATCACACAAGATTCTCAAAAAACACCTGCTGTATAAAAGTTCCTGATTTCCTGACTGAAATTCTATAGTTAAATCCTAATCATATATCAAATATTTACCCAGATAAAAACGTTAATAACCAATTACCTAACTGTTTTGTCATTGGAGAATTTTGATCCCAAAAGATATCATTCTGTCCATCTGGATCGTTAGGAGAACTGAAGGTAGATGATAATAAATCCATTTTCAGCAATCTCTTTGGTGTTTCATACCTTTCTACATAAAATAAAATTGAAATAACAATTGTTGCATTTTAAAGCATTACTTACTTCATAATACCCTCATGTCAAATAATAGCTTAGACTACATTACCTTTTTTGTGTGTGAGGAAGACTGGCTCTGAGCTAACATCTGTTGCCAATCCTCCTCATTTTGCTGAGGGAGATTAGCTCTGAGCTAACATCGGTGCCCATTTTCCTCTATTTTGTATGTGGGATGCCTCCACAGCACAGCTTCATAAGCGGTGGTAGGTCTGCGCCCCAGAACCAACCCACCAACCCTGGGCCGCCAAAGCAGAGCACGCTAACTTACCCACTATGCAACCAGGCCGGCCCCATAGACTAGATTACTTTTATAGTCCACTTATAAAACTCTCCCAGAGATGATTATATTACTTTAACCACAACTGAAATGTTTGCTTCACATAAAAATCCTTGTAATACTTCACAAATTTAACATTGTAAATAGCAAGTATTTCAAGATAATCTAGTAACTATGAATCTATAGTACTGTATAACCCAGTCACTCTCTTCATTACCACTGGAACTTGGAGGCTTTGGTATAGGCAGATTTCAAAAATCAGAAGGATCCCAACAGAAACTTCAGAAAAGTCAAGTTTAGCCCCCTTTCACCAACTCTATCCAACTTATAACAATTTCTTTAAAAAGCTTACTAATTAGTAGTAACCCATTTCTTGGGAAGTTTAGTCTAGCATCACTTTTAAATTTCTGCAAAGATTTGTTTCTGTTCATTCCAGAATTGCTTTATGGGAGTAAACTAAACTAAGGTGACAAACGCTGTATTTTAAAAACACGCTCTAGGAAAGAGCTTTTCTAAGAGTTTTCAGTTCCTACGGAATTTATTAGAAATTTTGTTAAAACAGAACACCAAAAATTGATCAGAATGAAATGTTCAGGAGCCCTTAGTTTCCCACTTTGAGGAACTTCCTTCCGGTTTATCCATCACGAGGTGAGACATCACCAAGGATATGAGGCCACAGATTAGCTGCAGCTTTTCATACGGCCCCTTCTCTAAAGCAAGTCAGGGCAGAAAACTTAAGGGGCAATAAATCCCCAGAGAATAGGCTGACTGCATCAGGTCTATCAGATAGTTCTCGCTCGGCCACTGCCACCGACTGGAGGCGCAGCCCAGAAATGAGCCGCGCTCCCGCCAACAGGTAAACCACACGACCCATGCCTGTGGCAGGGGCGACAAACGGGTGGTCGAGCCGAAGGGGCAATGCTCAAACTCGGGGACGAAAGCCGTGGGGGAGTGGTGTCGGGTTATTTTTGGACTCAGGAGGGGAGAAGCCCAGGGATAGAGAACACTTCAGACTCCACCCCCCCCTCCCCGCCCCGCAGGCTGCAAGCGGGGCTGTGGGGCTGCAGCCCCAAAGCCCAGAGCCCGCACTGCCGACGTCTCACCCTCGGGGTTACTTTTACTGCACGAAGCGGCTGCTGGAGGCTGCTCTTGCTGCGGCAGGGGCCGGGAAGGCCCCTCTGCGACCCGGCGGAGCCCCGAGCCGCGGGACGCCCTCAGCCGCCTCTTCCCTGGCTCGACCACAGAGGTGCATTCCTCAGCCGCCGCCGCCGCCTTCAGCGGCGTATTCTTCAGGCCAGGGCTGTCCCCATGTTTCCTTCGCCGACTCATTGCATATGACCCCCTCCACCAGCCGCTTCTCCTTTCACATTTTGCCACAGGCAGATGGGTAAGGCAATGGAACTACCAGCGGCACTCCCCGCCAACGGCCGCCGCCATTTTGGCTGATGGGGCGCTTCTAAGAGGCGGCCGCTGATTGGCTGCTTCCGGGCGAGGGGTGGGGCGGTCAGGGGGCCGGCGGCGCGCTTGCGCAGCCCGCGCCGGAGCTTGCTGTGCTCTGCTCGGGCTCTTCTGGGTTGGAAGTGATGGTAAGGGCTACAGGTGTAGCCACCGTAGCCGAGAGTGAGAGTATGTGAGGTGGGTTGAATCCATTGGCGTCTTTTTTTTCAGTTTACAGTTAGAATTACACTTTCCTCAGATTCAGATTATTGTGGGTTTTAGTATTTTCAAGAAGAGGAAATAAGAGATATAGATTAGGGAAGAAGAAATAAAACTATTTTTCATAGATATGTGCATAGAAAAATCCTCAAATAGGAAAAAGTATTAAATTCATTTAACAGAGTTGCTGATACGATGTCAACATTCAAAGATCAATTGTGTTTCAATAGATTAGTAACGAATATAACATTGATATTTTAAAGAAATGCGATTTATAATAGCATACAAGATAACAAATAACTAGGAATAAATTTAACCAAAGATTGCAACACCCCTACAGAATTATGAAATATTTTTGAAAGAAATTGAAGACCTAAATAAATGGAAGATTATACTATGTTCATGGATTGCCAGACTCAATATTGTTACAATGTCAGTTCTTCCCAAATTGATCTATAGATTCAATGCAAATCCATTCAAAATCGCTGTAGGGGTGTGTGTGTGTGTGTGTGTGTGTGTGTGTGTGTGTGTGAGTGAGTATGACAAGTTTATTTTAAAATGTACATGGAAATGCAAAGGGCTAAAAATATCCAAGAAACTCCTGAAGATCTCTTTTTGAATAATAAAATTGGATATCTACCAGGTATCAAGACTTATAAAGTTATGTTAATTAAGATAGTGTGGCAATTGTGAAAGTGTAGACAAACAGATGAATGAAACAAAATAGACAGCTCAGAAACAGACCTTGACATAAGTGGACCCTTGATTTAAGACAAAGATTACGCTCCTGAGCAGTGGGAAAAGGGCTTTTTGATAATAAATACTGCTTGGTCAGTTTGATATTCACATGGAAAAAGAAACCTTTACCTCAAACCACATCCTCAAATCAAGTGCAAATTGATTATATATTTAATTGTGAAAGATAAGTAACATTCTAGAAGATGATAGGAATTGTCTTCATGACAGAAAATGAATTTTAAATTGAAAAAAGATCACCATCTATAAAGAAAATAATTATAAATCTGACTACACTAAATTGATAACTTGAGAATATATAACGCCTGTCCATCCAAAGACAACATTAAAGAGAATGAAAAGCAGGGCACAGATTGGAAGAAGAAATTTACAAGATGCAAAATTAAGGGCCCATATATAAAATATATGGAGAACTGATATAAATCAGTAAGAAAATGATTGACCACCAATGAGAAAAATGAGTCAGATAACTTTAGCAGCCTCTCTGAAAGAAAATCTAAATGATCAACAAACTTGTATAAAAGTGCTTAACAGCATTTGTAATGAGGAAAATGAAAATTAAAACCACAATGTGGTACTCCTCTACACCTATCAGAACGGCTAAAATTTAAAAAGACTAACAACAGGGGTATCAAGGAAGTAAACCAGCGATGAGACCACAGCCCCAGCCAAACACCTGGACTGCAGCCTGTGAGAGACCCAGAGCCAGAGGACCCACCAATGAGAATTATCACATTCTGCTGGTGAGAGCATAACTTTGTACAACCACTTTGGAAAACAGTTTTTGATCCAGCAGTCGCACTCCTAGGAATATAACCACTGGAAAGGCATGGACTTGTGCATCAAGATACATTTTATAAAAATGCTTTTAGCAGTAAAATTCAAAATTACTCCAAACTGGAAACAAACCAAATACCCTTCAAAAGTAGAGTCGGTAAATATGTTGAGCTAAATTTGCTCAACAAAATGCTACATAATAATGAAAATGAAAAACTACAGCTCCTTGCAATATGTGGAAAAATCTCATAAAGTTGAGCAAAGAGGCCAGACTCCCCTTCCTTCCCACTCCTTTCTCCCCAAGCATACTATATAATTCAATTTACATAAATTCTAACAGGCAAAATTAATCTTACTGTATAGGAATGTAAGCTTATGTGATGAAATTATCAAGATCAAGGAAGTGATAACCATAAAAGTCAGGATAATGGTTACTTTGGCCAGGGGAGAAGGGACAAGGATTAGAGGGGGACGAGGGAGGGGAGCATCTGATGCGTTTGCTTTGTCCCTTGTCTTGTTCTAGTTGTTAATTTTGTGATAATTCATTGAGCTGAACATGTTTTGTGTACTTTTCTCTATACAGGTTATATTTGTCAATAAAAATGTTATAAAATTTTAATGTAAGGCAAAAAGTCTCTGTTTCCACTGAGAAACTGATAGATATTTTTTCTTTGTAATTTACTCTGTTTTCCTTCTTCAGTTTGGCTGCCAGGAATCCTAGAACTAAATTTGAGGTTCTGTTCTAGCAATTATGTAAACCATTGTGACCAAATAATTCCTTTCTTTTTTCTCAGTCCTTGACTTTCTACTACTATTTCCCTTGCCATGACTGTTTTTGATCTACATATTCTAAAATCATTATTTAGTTTTATATATTTATAATTGGATATGACTGCTTGGGAGGTCACATCTCTTAAAATTCAAATTAACTACTTCAACCTCCAGTTATCTAAATTAATAGGAATATTGTTATTTCTCTCCAAGATCTCTCCTACCTCTTGACTGACCGAGAATCCCAGAAACAGCAAAAAAAAAAGTCAAATGTCCACTATAACACTTTATTAAATAGATGGCATCATAGCTATCCAAAAAACTTAATTTACCCTAAAAAATACCTAACTCACACTTAGAAAATAGTTAAAGTAGTTTAAAGAATTTAATAATGCCTATAGGAGTGATAACCATGTGGTAATCCTTTAAAGCATATTAATACTGTGAAATAAAATAACAATGAATAATTTCCCATAACTGTCCAGATTCTATAGTGCCCATGTAACCCTTGTAAAAAGGAACAGCTCGGGCCCAATGAGCAGACATGTGTTGTTACCTTAGCACACCCAGGATGGCTGTAATCTGTAGTCATTATGTGGTAGGAAACAGTTATAAGTTTTAGCTTGAAAGTTACTTAATTCACACAATCTGTTACAGTTCTAAATGTATTTCAAATTTAATGTACTTCCTGAGTATAACTCCTGAAATAAGTACAGTGCAATTAACTGCTTGAGAAAATGTTTTAATAAATAAAAGATAAGTCTTATAGACATTTGAATGCAATATTGATTCAAAACACCAAAACAGCATTTCTAAGCATTTGAATAATATGTGCATATAAGTCAGTTTTAATGCAACTAAAAACTTTTTAAGAAACCAGAGTTAAACTCTTACTTGCTGTACTTGCAGAAATTATCCATAAGCTTGATGGTGATTATTAAGCAAAAATTGAGACTTTGAGAGTCTGTTGCTAAGGAGCTTTTTTGTGGAGTGATTGCCTTGTCACTTCGTTACAATGATAGTATCTGCTGGATCAATGGCTAATTGTGAGGTCTTTATTTCAAGAAAAAAATATAAGAATCATAATGTGCTATTATGTAGTGCAGTGTATGTACTGAGCCTGCCCCAGCTCGGAATCTATCAGGATACAATTGACAGAATCTGAACAGGTTACAAAATGAGTAGAGAATTCTTTTACTGTCTTGTTACCCTGTTTCTTGAGATACCCCAAAATGCACCTGGATAAGTCCTGGGCCCATTTTTCCTCAGTCCTGACCTACTACCACTTATAACTAAAATCACCTACCATGCCTATCCCTCTCCTGAGGGACCTGCTCCGTCAAGAGCCTCTGCTGCCTAGATGACTTTGGTCCCACCACGTGGCCCCAATCAGGTAAAACTGCTTGGCCTAGAGGTGGGCGCCTAACTTTGGGAACCAATCCATAGGCTGACTGTGTGCTTCTGAGTGTCACAGAAAGATACATTGAGACAATCGTGTTTCCTCTTGGAGATTTGAAGTAACCACTTGCTAGAGGACCTTGTGCAAAACCATGGGGGGCCAGAAACTATGAGGAAGCTTGAAGATAGTGGAACAGAAAGAAGCAGCAGTGTTACCTGACAGAGGACCATTGGAATGAACATCTCTAGATTCCAGATACCTGGAAACAAACAACCATTCAGCCCCAGTGTCCCTGAGGACAGGTTCTATTGTAATTCCAGTCATTTCCTTTTCTCTTTCAATGCAAGCCTTTACAGTAAACTTAATTTTCTTGAGCTAGTTAATGACAGTTAGTCTGTATTCATTATATCCACAAAAGCTGAACTAAAACAAAGCTTGGGATCAAAGGTTATAGACTAATTGTTTATTAATTTTTATTAGAAGGCATGGATTGGGAACAGAGAAGTGCCAGCTGCAGAATGCTTTTATTTTAAATGCTGTTTGCAAAGCATGATACCAAAGCCATTCTTAAGGATAAGATGGTTGTTAAACTTTGGCAAAATCATACTTAATTAGAAATGATTTGAGTGGTTTTTTTTTTTTTTTTTTAGGCCTGTGCTAAGACCTGCCAATCCCAATCCTCCTCTTTTTGCTGAGGAAGACTGGCCCTGTGCTAACATCCGTGCGCATCTTCCTCCACTTTATGTGGGACGCTGCCACAGCATGGCCTGACAAGCGGTGCATCAGTGCGTGCCCGGGATCTGAACCCTGGGCCGCCAGCAGCGGAGCACGTGCACTTAACCACTACACCACAGGGCCGGCCCCTTGAGTAGTTTTTTATAATAAGTAAAAGGAGTATTATTTTGAAAAGTTCAAAATAGAATGTAATAGAACCCCTTTGAAAGATGGGTTGGGAGCTAAAATATTTTAATGATTCATTTGAACCTGAGAAAAATTATAGTGGGCGCTGGCTATCATCTGAAATCACATTTCTCTTTTGTTTTTACTTTTCTTGGCTCGCTATTTTTATAAAAACCTGAAAGTTTA